TAAGCAAATGAGAGCAAATAATAGGCTAAAATCCCTAGTTGTCAGCGACGCCAAACTTAAGCTTTTGCTTGTCCTCAAGCAAACAAGGTAATTCCCACCTCCGTAAGAAAAAGAAAGGAAAATCTCAGCTGTCCTAAGGTGACTTCATCAAACATCAATTGGAACTAAAAATTACCCTCAACACAAATGCATTATCAATAACATTATGCTACGACTTTTTGAGTTTCATAGGTCTAATGTGACACTAGAGCATCAAGAGTTGACTCAATTCATCAAGGAACCTCGCTCTCACATAGGTCGTTGTGGATCCCAGACTCCTTCTCCTCTACTCTCCATGAGCTCATCTCACCTTATAGAATGTGACACTCAAAACTGGGATTGTAAAGAAGTGCGATCATCATTCTCAAAAGAATGCCACAAGTCCGGCTCTAAGTACCATAGGCTTGCCCCTCATGTAAATCGCCACTAATGTAAGCTCACTCAACTTGAAATCCTATAGGGCTTTAGCGGGATGTAATGAAGGCTTTTTGGATCCAGGTCGGACCTAATGAACTACGATGGTATTATCTTTCCTTAAGCACTCCATTTTCTCAATTCGGCTCATGCTTTCTTGACTCTTTGAGTCATTTTCTTCTTCCTTGGGGGAACTAGAGAGACACTTTGTCACTCTTTCTTCTCTATGAAGATCATTTTTCTCCTTTTCTCATCATTCCAAGCCTTTCAACATTGTGTTCTTGAATCCTTTCAACCTTTTCTTTTCTTTTGACTTACTTCTTTTTTTTTAATATCCTTTTCTTTGCCTTTCCTTTTCATCAATTCCTTTTGTTCTTTGCATCATTCATCACTTTGAAATTCCCCGTCTCTCCCCCAAACTTATGTTTTTGACTATTGTTCATCATGAATGCTAAGAAAAGATTGGGTACCAAGAGAGGGTCATTATAGAACGGATGAAGGCTTGTAATGTAGTTATTGAATGAAAAAGGCTTAGGCTCAAAGGGGTTGACTAAGGACATCATAGTGGTAGGCTATGGAAGTTTTCAAATTCACATGGAACCAAGTAGAGCCTATAATCACTTCTCAAGTCGAGCTACACTTAGAATTTTGCCTATAAAAACATTCGGGGCAAGTTCTAGACTTGTTGGCACGAGAATTGGACTTGCAATGCAATATCTCACCTCTCAAGCTACTGGATTGTTAAAGAGAATAGAGTCGAGGGCCCACAACAACCTTAGCTAAGATTGAAGATCACAAATGGCTCACAAAAATCACTTGATGATAGTTTTAGTTAACTCAAGAGTCTAAAGGTCACAACTAGAGCTAATCTCTTCAACTAACTTGTCTCTAACCATGAAGTCGAAGGTAAATGTGTTGGTACCAAGTGAAGTCTGCTTGAGACACTTTTATTCATTACTACTATATATCAAAACAGAAAGAAAAACATATCCAATCCCTTAAGAAGGTTGTCACGCCATCCATCGTTGGGAAGAACCACCCGGTTCGCACAAATTCCACCTTTGGAAAGAACCATGGCATTAAGAAAACCAAAGGCTTATTGATCACGAAAAACTATAAAAAGAAGCTACAAATTCAAAAAGAAACTACTAAATGAAATAAGAAGCAAAGCTATTAAGGATAATTACAAAAGAAGTTATAAAGTAAAATACAGAATGTAAACTGAATATGTACAATAGAGGATTGAAACGAATATACACAAAATGGGGATGAATATATACATGGAATGGTAATTTTATATACATACCAAAAGTTAAAAGTACGAAAATGAAAGTACAATAAGTAGAGAATAAAGAAAAATAGTATCAAAGTTATTACAGACCAATCATCAAAAAAATCATATCAAAATAAGGCCACCCCCCAAATAAAAATTAGCATTGTCCTTAATGCTAAAAGCAAAAATAGAATAGGGGAGGGATAGAGAGTAAAGAGAACTCCCTATGAGGCCTCTGTCTGCATGGGGTCACAGGTGGGGTCCTGTGGCTGGCCAGACTCATCACCTCCCTCGGGGTCCTCCAGCTCAATCTCCAAGTCCTCCGTCTGGGTATCACCACTCTCCTCACCAGCTCTCTGTCAGCCTCCTGCTATGGTACCTGTGCTGGCTTAGCTGTATGTGCTGCAGGGGAAGTCTCTCCCATAAGGAGATCTAGAGGACTATTGCTGGCGGAAGTGAGCTTCGCCACCTCCTTCTTCAACTCTTCTTGACCCTTCTTTACTTTCCTCACCTGTTTACCCAGCTCCTTGATTACCTTTTCATGCGCACCCAGAGACTCTAGAATCTTCTTTTTGTTTTCAATAATACTCTTCAATGAATCCTCCACTGATGGAGGCATCTGGAGCTGTGCTGGAACTGCCTGAGCTGCTACTGCACTGGATAAGGCAGATAGCTTTGATGTAGCTACCTGCATCCAGTTGTTGATCCCGGCCAAAGTCTGATTTACCCTCAGTGCAGTCTGAGGGTAAGCTGATGAAGAAGGCACTGATGGTGGGATAGAAGTGGATGGCCCGGAGGATGGATGTGGCATGGAAGCAGATGACCCCTCGACTACGGAAGGCACGGACCCAGTGGCCACTACCCCTGGCTCTTTAGACTGACCAGTGGAGGTGATGGCTTTGCCCTTGGACTTGGGGTTGTCTGGACCCTGAAGGTTGTACCAGGAGAAGGGCCTTTTCGGCTTCACCTTCGTGTCAAAGTGTCTCCCCTCAACCCGCTGGTCCTCTAGGTACATAGTGATGAAATTGGGGTAAGGGTAAGACCATTCTTCCTTCCCGGTTGCCTTAGATATGTTCTGGGCCATGAGGTTCCTCACATTTATCTGGGCCATGGGCCATGATGGACTTATGTGGATCGCTTGGGAAAGTGGAATGTCACTATCATGCTGGCATGGATCAAGGCGGCTGCAGACGAATGTGCACCACCCTTTTGCTTCAAAGCTAAGGGTGTTTCTGGCAATTGAGACTCCCGGTGTAAGCTAGGGCGGTGTTGTCCCTGGTATGGCTATCATCTCTACTAACCATGGACGGGCTGCTTCATCTAATGCCAACTTTTGTATGTATAGAGCAGCGTCTACATCATCAAACCCGACATATGTATTCAAAGTTTTGCCATCGAACCGGATTTTCTTGTTTCGTACCTTAGCCACATGGGTGCCCTTTTTGATATGGGCAACAATGGCGTATAATTCCTTGACTAGGTACTCATTTGCTTCCGGCAATTTGCTAGTGAAGAATTTCCATCCCACTCTTTCATCAAATTGTCTCTTCACATTCGGGTTGTGAGGGAGAAGGTCTCTTTCTATGAAATGACGCTCAAGGGTGAGCATCCTTTGTGGCCACCATTCCCGAAATTTGTGGTAGGCCTTCTCACTCACAAACCGATATTGCCACACTGCCGGATTCCTTGATCTACTCAACCCCCCTCATGTATATCAACTCCTCTCCCGTCATCCAGACCTCTTCTTCATCATCAATATCAATAGGGGCAGTTGTTGAGGCCGGAGTTGCAGCAGGTGGGGGAGGAGGTGCTGATGTCTCACTATTTCCTTCTGAGCTATCATCTGGCTCAGATGCGGAGGTGGGTTGATTGATGAGACAGAAAGGTTGAGATTGCACCTCGGGTTGATCAAATTCTCCCTCGAAAATCTCCCGGGAAGGGAGGTATTCACTAATGTCCGAGGAATCAGCCTGAGGTCTCACAGGTAGTGCCTTTTTTCCAATAGTCTTCTGAGGTGCTAAGGATGCAATCTGCTTCCCTTTGCCTCGGCCGCGGGAGGATTCTCCCCTCCCTTTGGATTTATCGGGACCACCACGAGATCGCACCATTATATGCACACACATTTAATGAAAGATCATTAGTATTATGGTTCAATGAATTGGCAGAGGACAGTAGATGAAATGATCAAAGTGTTTCTCAAAACAGGGTTCCGCTGACAGCGTAAAAGAGGCGCGACCACGGAAGGTTTAGCGCGGTCCGTGTAAAAATGAGTGTGGTCGGCGAAAGAGTTGGGATCATACTACCAACTCTCTGAACATTGGATTCCGCTGACAGCGAAAAAAAGGGCGCGGCCGTGGAAAGGTTAGCGCGGTCTGCGTAAAAATGAGCGCGACCGTGAATGAGTTGAGATCAGACTACCAACTCTCTGAACATTAGTTTTTGCTGACAGCGTAATTTGGGATGCGGCCGCGAAAGATCAAACGCGGACAACATAAAACTGGATGCGGCCGCTGAAGCAATTTCCAAACTCTCTGCAACTTATGAGCGCGGACCATGAATTTTTGGACACGGCCGTGTAAGTTCAAACATAGACCGCGGAAAAATCACCACGTCTGCGAACATGCAACCGTACTCAGCTTCTCATAAATTAGAGAACGTGGACCGCATAAAAATGGGTCGCGGTCCGCGAAGTTCAAACAACACTGGCTCTGGAACATTTGAAACCTAGGGCTTTCACTAAGTTCAAAAATTAATGCAATTAACATGCATAGTTAATAACCCTATCCCCCATTAGTCATGGAAAACAATTACCCACATGGATATATATAAGAATCAATTAAGCATGATTTTGAGATTGTGGCATGTATTAAACCCTAACCTAAAAGAAAAATTAAAAGTAGAAGAAAAGAAAATCAAAAGATGAATTTAATGTAAAGATTTGAGCATACCAGATGTGGATATGTAGTAGGAAATAACTTCTTGACTAATGAGATATGAAATTGAAATTTTAAGAAGTGGAAGATGAACAATGGCCTATTTCGCTGAGAGCGTGGGTTCGAAAAAGTGTAAAATACCTAAGGACTTCCTATTTATACCAACCCCAGAGGTCACCTGAGCACGGTCCGTGTAATTCCATCACGTTCGCGCTTTTTACCTTTCGAAGAACCTTTTCAAAAACATGTCCACTGAGAGCGAAATAACGGGCACGGCCGTATAATATCAACGCGAACCGCGAAATTATGAATGTGGACGTGCATACAACTTCAAAATGTTGCTATTCTGGACTTTTCAAATCCGCATCCGCTGACAATATATGCCCCCGTGAAAAGTTCTCGCTGACCGCGAAATTTTGAGCGCGGTCCGCGTAATTCCCCATTCTTAGGCAGATATTTCCAGCAACAATCCTGTACTGCATAAACAATTCCTACACAAAGCTCACAACCAGTTAGTTCAAAATAAAGCCTGATCTAAGAAGGAAATCAAAGAAGAAAGAAAAACACATGGGTTGCCTCCCAAGAAGTGCGTGATTTAACGTCGCGGCACGACGCATGTTACCACATCATTGGAAATTGATCAAGGCTACCACATGGCTGTCATCAAACTTGCCGAGGTAATGCTTCACTCGGTGCCCATTAACTCTGAAGATTTCACCATTTTTGTTTTTCAAGTCAAGAGCACCAAACGGAGTCACGTGCACCACCTCAAAGGGGCCACTCCATTTTGACTCGAGCTTTCCCGGAAACAGTCGTAACCGGGAGTTGAATAGAAGAACCAAGTCACCCTCCTTGAATTCTTTGTTCCGGGCATATTTGTCATGTAAGTACTTTATCTTGTCCTTATACAAGGACGAGCTGGAATAAGCATGAAACCAGAATTCATCAAGTCCATTGAGTTGCTCTACCCGGAGGTTGGCTGCTACATCCCATTCAAGGTTTAACTTCTTGAGCGCCCGCATGGCCTTGTTCCCTAACTCAACCGGAAGATGGCATGCTTTCCCAGATACCAACCGGTACCGAGACATACCAATTGGAGTCTTGTACGTAGTTCTATAAGCCCACAAAGCATCGTCAAGTTTCTTTGACCAATCCGTCTGGTTTGTATTGACAGTTTTTGATAATATGCTCTTTATCTCCCTGTTGGAGACCTTAATTTGTCCACTAGCCTGGGGATGATAAGGGGTTGACACCTTATGATTGACACCATACTTGGAAAGCAAAGTGCCGAAAGCCTTATTGCAGAAATGAGAACCCTCATCACTGATGATTGCCCGAGGTGTGCCAAACTGTGTGAAGATAATTTTCTTTAGGAACGCCACCACACTCCATGCCTCATTGTTGGGCAAATCTACAGCTTCAACCCACTTGGAAACATAATCAACAGCAACCAGAATATAAATGTTACCACAGGAACTCACAAATGGCCCCATGAAGTCTATCCCCCACACTTCAAAAATATCGATCTCAAGAATAGTGGTGAGAGGTATTTCATCCTTCTTGGAAATTCCGCCAGCTCTTTGGCATTCATCACACCTCTTAAGAAGCTCACTTGTATCTTTATACAGGGTAGGCCAATAAAATCCACAACTAAGAACCTTTGAAGCAGTTCTCGCCCCACAATGATGACCACCGTAGGGCGAGGAATGGCAAGCATCAAGAATATTCATTTGCTACTCTTCCGGGACGCATATCCGGATCACACCATCATTGTAAATCTTGAAAAAAAAGGGCTCGTCCCAATAATAATGCAAGCTGTCTTGTTTGAGTTTCTTCCTTTGGTTAGAAGAGAGCTCACTCCGGACAATGTCGGTCACAAGAAGGTTAGCCACATCGGCAAACCAAGGCATACCATTCAAAGACACGGAGAGGAGTTGTTCATCCGGGAATGAATCATTGATTTTGAGGCCATTGTGGGGCCTTCCTTCCTCTTCTAAGCGGGACAAGTGGTCCGCCACTTGATTATCACTTTCTTTTCTATCAACGATTTCAAGGTCAAACTCTTGAAGCAGAAGAACCCATCTCATCAACCTAGCCTTCGAGTCCTTCTTGGTCATCAAGTAACGAAGTGTCGCGTGATCAGTGTGCACAATCACTTTGGCACCTATGAGATATGGCCTGAACTTTTCCATGGTGAATACAATGGATAATAACTCTTTCTCGGTCACCGTATAATTGACTTGGGCATCATTCATCATTTTTCTTGCATAATAGACCGGATGAAATATCTTGTTGACCCTTTGCCCCAAAACTGCTCCTACCGCAACGTCACTAGCATCGCACATGAGCTCAAATGGTAAGTTCAAATTAGGTGCGGTGATGATGGGAGTGGTTGTCAATTTATTCTTGAGAAGCTCAAAAGCTTTCATGCAATCTTCATTGAACACAAACTTTGCATCCTTTTCCAGCAGCTTGCACAAGGGGTTCACCACTTTTGAGAAATCCTTAATGAACCTTCGGTAGAACCCCGCGTGCCCAAGAAAGCTCCTAACTCCTTTGACGGAAGTAGGAGGAGGGAGTTTTTAAATAACTTCAATCTTTGCTTTGTACACTTCAATACTGTCCTTTGAGATCTTATGGCCGAGGACAATGCCCTCCTCAACCATAAAGTGGCATTTTTCCCAATTAAGCACTAGGTTGGTCTCTTCACAATGGGCCAACACTTTGTCAAGATTATCCAAGCATTATTCAAATGAGTCCCCCACAACACTAAAATCATCCATGAACACTTCGAGGACCTCCTTCACCATATCCGTAAATATTGCCATCATACACCGCTGAAAGGTAGCCGGTGCATTACACAAACTAAACAGCATCCGTGAGAATGCAAAAGTTCCATACGGACATGTGAAGGTGGTTTTCTCTTGGTCCTACGGTGCAATGAGAATCTGGTTGTATCCTGAGTACCCATCCAAAAAGCAATAGTAGGCACGCCCGGCAAGTCTGTCCAATATTTGATCAAGAAAGGGCAATGGAAAGTGGTCTTTGCGGGTCACTTTGTTCAACTTTCTGTAGTCCATACATACCCTCCATCCAGTGACAGTACGAGTGGGGATAAACTCATTTTTCTCATTTGTGACCACAGTCATAGCCCCTTCTTTGGCACACATTGTACCGGTGAAGTCCATGAGCTATTCGAAATAGGGTACACAACCGCTGCATCAAGCCACTTGATAATTTTCTTCTTGACGACCTCTTGCATAGCCTCGTTCAACCTCCTTTAATGTTCCACGGAGGGTTTGGCATCATCCTCTAGTGTAATTTTGTGCATGCAAAAGGCGGGGCTTATACCCCGAATGTCAGCCAAAGTCCATCCAATTGCCTTTTTCCTTTTTTGAAGCACTGCAAGGGTAGAGTCTACATGCACATTAGTTAGGCAAGTAGAAAGAATAACAGGTAATGTGGAAGAAGGGCCTAAGAATTCATACCTGAGGTGTGAAGGCAAAGGTTTCAACTCCAACGTTGGTGGCTCCTCGATTGAGGGCTTTGTTGGTGGAGTCTTCCGATTTTCCAAGTCCAATGAAAGTTTACGAGGCCCATATGAGTAGGATCACATTCCTTGCAACATATTTGCACATTCAACCAAGCCTTCCTTTTCATCATCCTCATGGTTTAGCAACACAACTTCCAAAGGGTCTTCCACATTGATCATGGCACTCGTGTCATCAACTATCACCTCTGTCACAAGATCCACAAAAGAGTAAACTTTATTGCTATTTGGTTGCCTCATTGATTTACACATGTGGAATACAACTTTTTCATCGCCCACTCGGAAGGTGAGCTCCCCTGCTTCCACATCCACCAATGCCTTCCCTGTTGCTAGGAAAGGTCTCCCAAAGGCAATCTTTTCATCGCCCACTCGAAAGGTGAGCTCCCCTGCTTCCACCACCAATGTCGACCCGGACTAGAACATCATCAATAATACCAAGCGGCCTTTTCATTATCCGATCCGCCATTTGTAATCTCATGGAAGTAGCTCTTGGTTTCCCAATACCTAGTGTCTTGAACACGGAATATGGCATCAAATTAATACTTGATCCCAGATCACACAAGGCTTTTGCAAAATCGGCTCTACCAATGGTGCATGGAATTTTAAAGGCACCAGGATCTTCAAGCTTTGGAGCCATCGAGTGCACAATGGCACTCACTTGATGAGTCATTTTGATGGTCTCATAATTCATAGATCTCTTCTTAGTTACCAAGTCCTTCATGAACTTGGCATATCCCGGCATTTGTTCGAGAGCTTCCACCAAGGGCACATTGATTGACGAACTTTTCATCATCTCAATAAACTTCTTGAATTGGTTTTCATTATTTTCCTTTGAAAGCCTTTGAGGATATAGTGGAGGAGGCCTTGGTAAAGGGGCCTTGGCTTTAGGCACTACCGTTTTCGGTATGTCTATCACGTGTTTCCTAGACAGGTTCACATCATTTTGAGTCTCCTCCATGTTGTCATTGCCCTCGATCCTCACTTCATCATTCATATTCTCATAATTGGCTTGAACCTCACCATCTTCTTGCAACACAACATCTTCACTCACAATCTTCTTTGGATCAGAAGTACTTGCATCTCCACCTCTACCGCTTCTTGTGGTCATCGCCATAGCATGGCCTGTATGGTTCCCACCCTTCGGGTTTACTACCGTATCACTTAGTAGTGCCCCCTTAGGGTGAGTATTCAATGCTTGAGAAATTTGACCCAGTTGTACTTCCAAGTTGCGAATAGAGGTAGTATGGGAGGCTATTTGGGCATCGGAGTCAGCATTCCTTTCCAGCATTTGTTTTAACATGTTCTCTATTTGCCCCATCTCATTGTTTGAAGAACTTTGCCCTTGAGACAAATATGGAGGCGAATTATTTGGTTGTTGATACATCGGGGGCCTTTGGACGCCCGACCCCCGGTTGCCTGGATTATTATTATTCCAACCCCCTTGGTTTCCATTTCCGCCCCAATTGTTATTGTTGTTCCCCC